GTACGTCGTCGTCGTCGTCGTCTCGTCTCTCTCTCTCTCTCTCTCTCTCTCCTCCTCCTCCTCCTCTCTCTCTCTCTCTCTCTCTCTCTCTCTCTCTCTCTCTCTCTCTCTCTCTCTCTCTCTACGCTCTTCGCCACGCTATTTTATTATTTCCTCTTCTCTCTTTTTCCTCTTAGATCGTAGCGCTCTTTCTCTCTTCCTTTCCTTTACTTTGTACATAGAACTTAATGGTATAGTCATGGGACGTCCACGGCTGCAGTTTCCCCTCTATCGTCTCCTCTCCTCTTGCTTTTTCCTCGATCTCTCGACTCTTCGTTCATCTTTCTCTACCTGTCTCTCTTACCCTTGTCTCCGTATCTTTATTCCCTCTATCTCTTTCCGACGATAGAGCCACGGCGAAGGAACGACTACATATACGCGGGTGTGACAGTGTGAGGCACCGCGAGCAGGCGCGCGCGAGCGCACGCACGCACACACAGAGCAGCGTAACCTTTCCTTGACCCGCATACTGAACGGCTGTGCCGAGGCTCGAACCGTGGGAACACACTACTCGACTCATCCCCCACCGCTCCGTCAGAATTCTACTCCCTTCTCCCGCTCCTGCTTTCCTCCTTACTCCTCCGTTCTCTCCGCGTCGTCGTCCCCGTTGGTCCCGCGCGCGGTTCCCTCTCCCTTCCGTGAACTCTTCCTCGCCGCTGTCCTTCTCTCTATCGTATCCCGGGCCCCCTGTCTCCCCACCCTTCAACGACTGCTTCTTCCCGCTCGGACTACCTTCGGTCCCCTTCTCTCTTTCTCTTTACGCGCGCTCGTGTGCACCCTGTACGCACACGTACATGGCTACTTTTGTGTGTACGTTCTCTATTTATATGTGTGTGTGTGTGTGTGTGCATGTCATGTGTGCAGGGCACACACACGTGCAGCATCCTCTTTTCATTCCACCTTTCGTTCTATCTTTCTCTCTCGCTGTCTCTGTCTATTTTGGTCTCTTTCTTCTTCGTTCCTTCTTCGTGAGGCACTAACCCCCGCACGTAATGTAATGGCCGACCAGCGTATCATCCTCATCTCTTGGCGTGCCACCCTCTCACTCTTCACCCGGTGCTTCATATATATATATATATATATATATATATATCTTTCTTTCTATCGACTTTATTCATCTTTAAGATATTCCCTGTCGCTGTACGTTACCTCCTTCCCTTTGCCCCTCGCCGATCATCCTCTCTCTCCTACGGACCGCGAATCTTTTCTTCCTTCGTAACTCGGCCGAGAAGTCCTCGCGCCATCCTTTCCTCTTTCTCTCTCTCATCTTCCTGCCGTATATCACACACATCCGTGCGCGCGCGCATATCTTTCGACGACCTCTGTCCCTTCTTCGCCCTCCTTCTTGCAAGAGCTCTCGTGGTGTGTACCAGGATTTCGTCGACCCTCTTCTCGCGTCCATGACTGCCTTCCGTCCATCACCGGTGAAACTTTCCTCGAGACTCGTGACCGATGGAAGACAGGAGAGAAGAGATTCGAGTATCGAAGTATGCAGACTCAAACTTCGCTTCACGATCGGATCTCTGTCATAACACGGTCCCAATGGTCTAACCAGACCTAATAATTCTGACTTCTCGTGGGTCATCCATTCACTTATACCTGTTTGGTCCTGTCCCGGTATATACAGTTACCGGGAAGAGAATGATTTATTTCCAAGAATGATTCAGCTTTCGTGGAAATCGTGACATGTCTCCGTCATCCATTTACTATGCCGCTGATACGCAACAGTAGTGAGATACGATATGTGTCAGTCTTTTGATTAGTTTCTTATTCCCTCGTAATCTCATCCGAGTATCACTAAAGAGTCATTTCTGTCGTGCTGTTACAGATGCCACAACGGCTGGAAAGGATCGCTGTGCAATCAATGCGTTCGATATCCGGGCTGCCTCCACGGTAGTTGTCAAAAACCTTGGGAATGCGAGTGCGACGAGGGTTGGGGTGGACTGTTCTGCAACCAGGATCTCAACTATTGCACGAATCATAAGCCGTGCATGAACGGCGGCACCTGCTTCAACACCGGCCAAGGTTCATACACCTGCTCCTGCCCGTCAGGCTTCACCGGCACCGAGTGCCAGACGCCGCTCTTCGACTGTCATTCGAAGCCCTGCCTAAACGGCGGTACCTGTACAATGACGGAATCATCAACCACGAGCTACGTGAACGGCACTGGTACCGAACTATCATCATCCTCTAGACAGCAGCAGCAGCAGCAGCAGCAGCAGCATCGTCGCAGCTATCGCTGCACTTGTCCGTCTGGTTGGCGCGGCCGACACTGCGAAATCACGACGCGATCCTGTCGGGACTCACCCTGCCGACATGGCGCCACCTGCGAGGACGATTCTCTGCGCGGTTACGTCTGTCGTTGTCCGCCCGGCTACACCGGCACGGACTGCGAGTCGCAAGTCGACGAGTGTTCGCCGCATCCCTGCAACAACGGCACCTGCATGAACCACGTCAACGGTTTCCGATGCACGTGTTTCGCCGGCTACACCGGCGAGCACTGCGAGATCAACGTAGATGACTGCCAAGGCGATCCGTGCCTGAACGGCGGCAGCTGCATGGACCAGGTGAACAGCTTCCGGTGCCAATGCGTGCCGGGTTACGTCGGCCGGCTTTGCCAGGATAAGGTAGACTACTGTCTGGCAAAACCGTGCGCGAACGGAGGCAGATGTACTTCTGGGACCAATGATTACCACTGCATATGTAAACCCGGTTTTACCGGCAAGGATTGCAGCGTGGATGTGGATGAATGCCAGAGCGCGCCATGCCAGAACGGCGGTACATGCCGGAATCGCGTCAATGGCTTCTTATGCGAGTGCCCGAAGGATTGGTACGGTGACACCTGCAACGATAAAGTCGGCGACAAGCCGATCACTCCACCACCATCCGCGCCCGCGATTTCAAACAGCGGGGTGGCAAACGTGCCGCTGGCGGAACCATCCTCGGGCGGCAATCATTGGCCCGGCAACCTGTCGAAGCACGTTGCCTCTAGGAAAACCAGCCTGACCACCGAACACCTAGTGATGATCGCGACACTTTCGACCGCAGTTCCAGCCTTCGCGCTCTTCGCTGCGGTCGCAGTTATGTGCATGAAGAGGCGGCAGAAGCGGGAACAGGCGAAGGCTGACGAGGAAGCGAGATTACAGAACGAGAGAAACGCGGTGCACAGTAGCATGAGCAAACGTAGCGCTAGTACCATCGGCGTTGGAGGTACCGGTGGTGGCGGTCTCGGGATCGGCAATGGCGGCGGTATCGGCAGCGTCGGCGGTCTCCTTGGCAGCGCCGGTAGCGGCCTAATCGGTACCGGTGGCGGCAGTGTATGCGCTCTGGGCACCGGCGACGCGCATATGATCAAGAACACCTGGACGGCTAGCAAGAGTGTGAATAACGTCGCATCGGCAGCATCGCGGCAAGACGACTTGGACTCCTCGTTTCAGACTGACGTGACGCTGGATAGTTCGTGCTCCGGCTACAAGCCGGAACCAGTGATACAAGATGGCCGAACGAGAACGACGAAACAATTGAACACGGAGGCGGCGGCCCACCGGGCATCCGCGCACCTCTTCCAGAAGGAGAAGGACTGTCTCGGCCTAGGCCTCGGTATCGGGATTCTGGAGAGTGCCAAGAGATCATCCGTATTTGCCACTACTGCCAACGTGGCGGACAATTGTTGTGCCGCGGAAGCCGCGCTGATGAAGAGGCCGGCGACGATATCGGAAGCCAACGGCACCGGTGTTGGCGTCGGTATTGGCGTCGGTGTCGTCAGTAGTGGTAGTAGTGGACCACCGGGAAGCGGTGGCGGTGCATCGGACAACAGCAGTTGCGGCGTCTACGTGATAGACGATCACTATGTTAGGCATGACGCCGCGCTGGCGGCGACACTCGCGACAGAAGTGTAGTAAACTCCGGACTCCCATTTAGAGTGATAGAAAAAGAAAAAGAGTATGTGCGTGCGTGTGTGGATGCATGAGAGGATGGGAGAAAAAGAAACCAGTGCATGTGCGCGCGTGCATGCGAATCGTGGAACTTGTTTTCTTCGTATGTGTGAATTAACAGACTACCCCGTTCGATTTCCTTCGATTTTTCTCGAACCGCACCGCCGTGATGCTCTTGGTTCAGCGACGCCTTTATCTCGGATGTCTCTGTGGAGGTTCATTTATTTTCTTTACCTTTTTTTTTTTTATTTTTATTTTTATTACATCTTTTTTTGCGAGAGTGCTTGTGCATCCGCGATCGATCGGCGCCGCTAGTCATCGGTGGGACTTGGCGATTGAAACATCGTTGGCGCGCCGCCGGCCAACTTGACCAGCCAGGAGTGTACGTGTCGTCTCTACTGTGTTGGGACGAGAATGAGACGACGATAAACTGACCGAAGACGTTCGATTGGGGCTGATCGAGAAGCTGACAGAGACAAGAAGAAGAATTAACGCGATGCTGTGGGGGTCGGCCGGTTCCTCCAACGGCCGCCGACCCATCTTTAGGTATTAATATTATATCGTGCTCGAAAGTGAAACTCTGTACAGAACTAATTTATTATTATTGTTATTTACGTTATTGTATTATCGATTACTATTATTATTATTATTAATATTATTATTATTATTATTATTATTATTATTATTAATATTACATCGTGTCGCATTATCATTGTTCCCGGTATTAGTTCTTTTTCGAATTTTTTTGCGTGACCGAGCTGCCGACCGGAGCAAGAGTAACGACAGCGAGAGACCTTTTGTGTATATTATCTGTGTACGTGTGACGAATGTGCGTGTATGTATGTATGTATGTATGTATGTATGTATGTACGAATGTATGTAGGATACTCATGTGTATGCATGTAGTTGCGAGCGAGTAAGTTTAATGACGGATTAGCATTTTTGAACGACGTTGTTTTTTCACATTCGGAATTAATATTTCACGTAATACCGCCTCTTTTCCTCTCTCTTTTTTTTTTTTTTCATAAAGCATTCCTTTTCTCAGAGAAAATACCGTAATGCGGCGAGGAAATCTTCCGGCTAGTGACGAAATCCAACGTTTCCCAAAGTTTCGACGATCACGAAAATTAATATCTAAAATGACACTTGAATGAAACGCACCTTCGACTCTTTGGGATTCTCCATTGTCGACAATCCCGATTAGTCGAATGACTCGCGTTGTCCTTCAAACACTCGTTTTCCACGCCGATTTTCAACCGGCTGAAAGGAATGTCTGGAAGGATGGAAAGCCATATGGCTTTTAAAAAAATTCCGTCCTTTTAATTCGGAAACGTCATTCCATCATGATGATCGATGATAATTTAATTAATTTTGATAAATAAATGGAGCATTCGAGTAAACTTAAAACGTATAATTAAATTGAGCGATAATGGTAGTTAGGCATATAGTTTTCCTAGAAAAAGATAAAAAAAATATCGAAAAACTCAGAGGGGAAAGCCCATGCATGCGAAGTCCGTCTTTTGACATATTTTCATGGAATTAAATTGAACTTGCATCGAGAGAATATATAATGATGAGAAATTTGTTTTGTCGCTAATTTAGATATTCTAAGAAAATTGCGTGATGTTGGCTTTCCTTTATCGAAAAAAAAAAATCGATTGTCTATGTCCATTACGACGTGCATTGTTCGATGAGACGTTGCTCGCGCTACGTATGACTGAAAAGACGAATAGATGTGTATAAATTATGCAGATATATATATATATATATATATATATATATATATAAAAATGGACAGTGAGAGATCTGGCATCATTGATGACGATGTTTCAACAACGATGCGGTTCGCTTTGATGCGATTTGGCGTTGAAATCGGCGAAACCAATCGGGAAAATGAGCGAAAAGAGAACGATTATCATTGCACGAGTGAATGTGGATAAAATGTCTACCGATGTTTTTTTCGGCATTTAAAATTTGATCATAGTGCAATCTTCCCTTCTCGAACGACGCAACGTGAATATATATCTTGCAAGGATGCTAAAGTAATTAAAGACATTTGAAAAATCAGTATTTCTTTAAACGAGACATCCTAATCTTTCAAATGATTTTTTTCGTGTCCTTCTTCCGCGTTGTTCATATCACCGCTTTCTGGAGTTTATACTTCCGAAAAGCGGTGAACCGATGGTTGAACTGTGATTCATATTGAACTTTTGGCGGATTCGATCGTTTCTTCCGCGTTTCTTCGCACCGGACGGACGAATCCGTGAAGTAACTCCGACTCGTATTGTCCGCGTTCACTCGTGCGAAAAGGAAAAGTCCAAAGAGATTGTCCGGACACGATTTCGGCTTTCGCGAATTCTCCATCATTTTCACCCAAGTGAGCCACGTTTTCTTTCAGCGATACGCCCGCTGATTTCGCTCGCGAATGCGTGATAGATAAGTGACGATTATTGCGTGTTGATGCCGCACGGTCGATTATGATAATTAATTATTTATTTATGACTGCTGATGACGATTTTACATGGCGTAAAAAAAAAAAAATATATAAATAAATGGCGATTAGCGCGCCGACGACAGTGATGACGATATTATCGCAGATTAGAAAATGCGCATGCGATGACGAAGAAAGTGAGAGAGAGAGTGAGAACGAGTGAGAGAGAGGGAGAGACAAAGCTTGTAGCGACAAAGATTCGATGATGTTCCTGTTACGAAATAATAATAATTAAATGAACGAAATGCAAGTACCGACTAAGTCAGGCTTATTTTCGAATCTCGTGCGCGCGCGATGGCGCAAACGGGGCATTTTTTTCCGCATTTACATTGACAGTCACAGACAGTAATCGATAAACCATACGTATGTAAACCGTGACGTCCGCGATTTGGTCGAGAATCGCGATAAATCTAATCCTTCTCATCTGGCTTCCATTTTTCATCCCCCTCTTCCTCTCCCCCGACGACCGCCGTCGCGCGTGTACAGACTTCGAATTAACGAGAAAGGCGTGCGTGTAAATGACAATGCGAGATTATATTATACGAATTACGATGTGTAATAAAGCTGTTGTCATTTTTTTGTACTTATACTCCTTCGAATGATTTGATACGTCTCGTTATCTCGTTGAATGGTCTCCATCATTCCCATCCTTCTATCCCTTTGCCCTCCCTCCCGATTAGATTTTTTTTTCAACGACGTTCCGAACTTTTTTAGACTTTCGAATTAGATTTACCTTTTCTTTTTGTACCAGCGATGCGTATTCGCGAGAAAAAGGAAAGTATCGTTGCCCGCCACACACAGTGGCCCGCCTTTTGTTCGCGACGAGGCATTGATGAAGATTGTAAAGACCATCCCCAGCGTACCGTACCCCCCATTTTTGTATAAAACAGAGAAGATAATATGCACACAGCGTATACATACACTGACATACACGCAGCACATCTGTATATTTGTAGTAGGACTATACAATTGCGATTATTATTAATTATTAATATTATTATCATATGAAACATGTAAATAGATGAATTGTCAATATAACGATGTCACGCAAACAACAAGTGGACGATTAATAATGATACATTAAAAAATGAATTCTCGTTCTTCTTTCGTCTCTCCCTAATCTCGCTTTCTCTTTAATCTCGTTACGTGACGAAAATCTCGTTGCGAGTACACAATACACTATATAATATTTAATGCAGAATCGCAAGCAGATTTTTTTTTATTGACGATTTCTTTATGCAAGTTGGAATAAATGTAAATGATATAACTACGAAATATTTTCACGATCATAAAGTTACAGTTTCATCAAGTAGACCTCACTGTAATCCGAGTAAACGTATAGATCATATGCCGCATATGTGATACAAGTTAAAAGAGTCTAGGTGGTTTCTCGCTCTTGTCACCATAACCATGCGATGTGTCTAGAAAAGAGGAGTCCGCTGTCTCTGTCGACTCTAGGGTTTAGTTAGGAAAGAGTAATTCCGAGACACCCTGTATTACTCATCCACCGAGCGCCACTTTCGAGGCCAGACCGAGACCGGTACGCTCGTCGCTATTTCCGTGCTAGTCGTCGTCGTCGTCGTCTTCGCCGTCGCCACGAATCGCGCTTAAGGAGGCAGGACACGAAATGCAGCGTACGATGATAAAGACCGCGCCGGTGTACACTCGTGAGAGCTCGACACGGAGAGCTTGCGTTGCTGCTGCTGCTGCTGCTGCTGCTGCTGCTGCTGCTATCGCTTGTGGGAAGATCGATGAGAGAAAGGAATCGGTCGGATTCGGCGACGGCGACGAACGAGTCGAAGTCGTAAAGAAGAAATCGCATCATCGCGGAACGAGGCGGGAGAGATGGCGGCCGATAAGCCAGTACAACTTTATGTAACTATGCAAACCGTTTCGCGCCCCTCATCCCCGGATTTGAGACGGCGAGTCATCTCTTCCGGATGCGGGAGATCGAAACTGGCCTTGGCGCTGGCGACTGTGCATGTGTCGTTCATTAATAATCGACAATTCTTATTCGACAGTTTTTTTTTTTTTCTTTTTATTTAATCGTTAGAACTCTTTACGGGAAGTATATACAAAGAAGGAAGGAACTATTCTGTCGATTGCGTATCGAAATTGTAAGAATTTCGAAAAAGAAGACGCCAACTTTCATGAAGGCAATGTCGATTCTTTCGAACGAAACGCGATAGTGGATACCCGTTGGGAGGAAGAAAAGAGAAACCTGGCATGGTAAAATTGGATGTCACACCCGTGGAATCTTAATAACGAGCTGTCCCTCGCGCGACAACGCCTTGCCGCGATTGCTCGTTAATTGCAAACATTGAACACGTGTTCATTTGTGCGCGTACAAGATGGGGGTATTACCCATTAACTCATTTGCAAAACTCACTTGGTTATTGCCTTCGCAATTATCTCTTTGACGGTAACAGAAGGG